ATTCAGGCATACATATACAGTAAAGTACAGCAAGGAATCATACTTATGTCAGGAAAAGAATCAGAAAAACATCAGAATAAAAGCCCGTTAATGGCTATTTTTTCATAATGTCCAAAGACTAGTGGAAGATGGAAATCTAACTTACCGCTAGTATGTCTGCAGTGAGATCATCAAGTTTTTGTGCACTTTCTGGTAGAGACTCATCATCTCCTACAGGCTCCTTTTTCTGTGACAAAAAAAATCCATAGTACCACCAAGACAGAGAGAAAACAGTAAGACTTTTCCAAGAACATACATCTTAAACAATAATGATGAGGAGGCAACTACAGCTGCTGGAAGAGAAAGGGTGGAATTAGGACTGGGAGGAGGAAGGTCCACATGAGAATCTTCACTTTAGGAAGTGGCCCAGCATATAGAGTAATATGAAATCATGGCTTGAGTTGATTAAAATTTCAACAGCCCGGGAATAATTTTTCAAACCTACAGCAACCTGGATTTAGATTAGCTAAAAATTTCAGAGGACATTTCTTCAGATCATTTCCTGAGCAAAATCCTCCCAGCAAAGCCAATCCAGGTAAGAAAGTTAGGACCCGACCAGACTTTTTTTGAAGTAAACACTGCTCTGAGCTGGTGCCATACCAGCTCAAGGTGAGAACTATATTACAAGACAATATAACTATTACAAACATATGGTGCTTCTCTCTCTTACCTTCATTTTCTCACCTATCGTTTTGCTGCAAAGGTTCTTCAGTTTGTTCAGGTAATCTGTGCGAAATCGACCTAGAAATGAGGCATTGGAAGAAAATGTAGTTTCAGCACAGAGACCGCTGCTTTACACAACTTTACTAGTGGCTTCAGAGACCTGCTGAGTTGGAATACTGTTATCCATGTAAATGATGTAAAACTCATTCCCTCTTCAGTTCAAAAGAACTGCCAACTCTCTGAATAAGATTTGTAAAAAGGAGTGGAGAAATGCTTGTGGAGAGCAGGCACTTCAGTTTGTAATGAAAGGATGGCTTCAAAGCCAATGCATGAGGAATAAACACTGAGATCACTGTGCCCCTAGGCAAGCCACTGCCTCTCTGTACTAGTTTTCCCATCAATACATTAAGTGTGAAGCTTCACTACCTCGCAGGAGCATTGGGAGGTTTAAGTCAGGCATGCAAAATTCCACTCACCATTTTGCATTGCTCAGTACCCTACAAGACAAGAAGAATATTGAAATGTTATCACTCTAGTGTTGTTGTAAGTAAACAGATTGTAGTCTTATCTAGAGGTGCACCAAAATATCAGTCCATATCATAAGGGCGCTGATAAAAGGAAAACTGATATTATCAGTAGTCGGCAATATGTAGCCAATAATGTCACTGATAAATGCCATGTGCATGTGCGCAGCCACAGTATGCACGTGGCCAGGAACGCAGCCTGGCAGCTTGGAGAGCAGCATCCAGCTGGTAAGTCTGCAGGATGGAAGAGGCTTGGGGGATGCAGACTGAGGCCCCCACAGTTGAGGGAGGGAGTGGGGCAGGGGCTGCCCAGCCAGGGTGGAGCAGGGTGCAGGAAGGAGCCATGGGCAGCTTGTCCAGCAGGTGCAGGGGGGAGGGCAAGGAGGAGGAGGTGGCTCCTGCTGCTGCATACACCCCTGGGGGAGGCATAGAGGGCATGTGCTCCCCCCCAGATTTGTGCATGGGACAAGAGTGGGCGGCCCACTGCAGGCTCAGGGCAGGGGCTGTATTCCCAGTGGGGAGGCTTGGCCAGGGCTGCACTCAGGGCAGATGACAGCAGCACTGGGAGCAGGAGACTATGGCAAATTTTGGGGTGGCTGTAGCCCAACCTATAGCCTCCCAGTGCAGCTGCCACCTACCCTGTCCTGCCCTGAGCACAGCCCCAACCTGGACCCCCCCCTCCCCAAAGGGGAAGAGGCTGGCGCAGCCCCTGGCCCCAAGACCTCAGTGGGCAGCCCGCCCTCACCCCACACACAAATCTGGGGAGCACATGCTCCCATGCCTCCTCCCGGTGTGTTCTTAGTGGCGGGAGCCATCCCCCCTTCCCACCCTCCCAGACAAGCTGCAGCTCTGTCCCACGCCCTGCCCTGGCTGAGCAGTGCCTGCCCCTGCCCCATTCCCTCCCTCACTGTGGGGGCCTCAATCTGCACCCTCATGCCCCTTCCCCCCTTGATTTACTGGTTAGACACTGCTCTCCATGCTGCCAGGCTGCACTTCTGGCCACATGCAGGCTGCAGCTGCACACATGCTCATGGCTTTTATCGGTGACATTATCGGTCGCATCAGCCAAAAAAAGCCGATTGCTGATAACGTCATTTTTCCTTTTATCGGTGCCGATGCAACATGGACCGATGTAGAGGTGAACCTCTACTGCTTAATAATCAGCTAGCGGTATCAGTCAACACAATCTTTATTAGTGCACCGCTCGTCTTATCTGACATTTCAAGGCTTGAAAAAGTTTGGTCGCTCTCCACAGGGGAAACAAACTTTTTCCTCAGAAGAGATAAGCCTACATCTGCCCCTAACAGTTCCTGAAAAATGTATGCTTTCAGTTTGAAAATGTCTAGTTTCTTACTGGTGTTAAGATGGGTTCCTAAATGTGAGTCTGCAGTGGCACCATATTCCACAGGCTACAAAAAGGGCCAAATTTCCTCTGCTCCACTTTCCAAACAGCAACATGATGCAATCGACAAAACCCTGGGCAGTTTCACTACCATTGTGCAGAAGAAGAAACAGACATGCATCGGGTATTTTTGTCTTATCTACTACTGCTCTGGAAATCTGAGTGTGGTGAGGGCAGAAGCAGGAAATAGCATCCTTCGTTAGAATGAAGGACTCCCAAAAAGAGAGGAGCAAGGACAGTCAGAGTAGCAGAGGCCAACCACCCCAGTGATGTCCAGATGGCTGGGTAAGGATAGAGCCCAGGACACATGCCCTTTCTGCTCCCCGAAGCAAGGAAGCTCTTGAGCCTCCAGGGAAGAAGAGAGGGATTTATCAGCAGCCTACTAACTAAAGGCACATTGTAACGAAGGAATCAAAAACTGCAGCCAGGGATAACCACCTGGTTCTAAGCTCTCCCTTCCTTTTCCAGGAGAGAACAGAATCCGGTTCCTCACTAGAGCACTTGCATTAATACTCCTGATGTTGCATCCCCATCCCCCCTTATCAGCCTCTGACTGGTCTGTTTTGGGCTCTGGACAGCGAAGAGATCAACTCTAAATAATTCAAGCCTTGTAAACACTGATGACAATTAAGCAAAGCTCCTTCACTCCCACACACCCTGTTTTGAGATAGACAGAGTATTAATTTACAGAATCAGGAACTAATGTCAGAGTTAGAAGGATGGCTGTCTCCTGTCAAGACAGGCTAAGAAAAAACAGCTGAAAAATGATGGTGACTGTGACGACAGTCTGAAGTCTAAGCCATAAAAACTGAGAGCCCAAAAACCAAACGTGCTCTCAGACATCTGGCAGCGCCAGCTGGCTGAACAGCAATCCATTCCGGTTTGTGGCATTAAAGATGGGCGGTTATGCTAGTTGCAGCTGGATTGCATCAGGCTGAATGATTCACCCGTGCTCCCGCCGCATCCTGCCAAAAAGTGCTCCAATTATTTGTATGCCAACACATGCTCACAGTGACCAAACCAAGCGGCTTCTCTTGCCGTGCACCGAGACAGCTCTTCACAGGAGGTTACAGGTCACAGTGCTGTGCTCCACACCGTGCTGTAATGCATTAAGCCCTGCCACCCGCCCTGGCTGCATTTAACAAGCAAGCTCCATATGCAGTTTGTGACACCCTTCAGGGGGAAGGAAGGGTTCACAGATCGTAAGGGGCCGGAAGGGACCTCGGAAAATCATCGGGTCCAGCCCCCTGCACCAAGCAGGAAAGACACCTGGTGACCCTGGCGAGCAGCCAGCACGGTCCTGCAAAGAAATCTAAGCCATCGATACAATGCAGAGCAAAGCAGTAGGCTGCAGACAGGAAGTGTTAAATAAGGAGCCAATGGTCCCCCTCCCGCGCAGGCGCACTGCGCCGCCCCGGACCGCATCTGGCAGGGCCTCCCCGGGCTTACATCGCCGCCAGGCCGCGTCCGCTTGCACCAGAGCGTCCACCAGCCCCGGGTCCTTGAAGCGCTTGATCTGCATGTCACGCACCACGGCGGGGTCCCCGCCTTTGTCGGCGCGGAACAGGTCCAGGTCCAGCACCATGTCGGCGGCAGCGGCGAGTGCCGGTGGCTGTCAGCGTGGAGGAGGAATCGGCGCACGCCCACTGCACATGCGCCGAGAGGGGATGGTGGCACCGCTCCCTCCCGGCGCCTGCGCATACCCCCGACTGAGGGCGAAGGACGGCTTGCGCATGCGCCCATCCCGGCGCCGGGGAGGCTCCAACCACTCGGGTCCCTGGCTTGGGCGCTGTAGCGGCCCCTGCAGGCTCCGCGCGGGATCGCAGCGCCGCCTTGCATCAGTGTGGCGGGGGGGGAAATGCCACGGTGGATCCGGACCCTGCTGCTACTGGTACCCTTCCTTGGGGCAAGCGGGGGGGTGACCGCCCCCAAACGAATGGGCTGGACGGACTTCAAGTGAGGCCAAGGTCAGGGTCAGAGCTAGGTTATACAGGGCCTTAGTGCTACCCCGTCAGCATCCAGGAGACAGGGTGGAGATGCACCTGATAGACCGACGGGGTCAGAGATGCATAAGCTTCCACCAGCCGGAGCTCACTCCAGGTGCCACAGGACAGGCAATCAAGTGTCCTGCCTTGTGCCTGACTCCAGATGAACCACCTCTTCCCCTGCCTAAAATCCACGGAAACCTCGGCCAGTCCAAGACTTGACCCCTCAGCATCCATGCAACTAACCCACTAATGTTGTGGGCTGGCTGAGGTAGCATCGGAAAATGGACACAGTTCAGTTCTGTCCAACCAAGCTCTAATCCCACTTGTACTTCACCTCCCTACCCTTGTTACAGTGCAGATGGTGCTCTGAAGGATGCCCCTGCGAGGGCCGGGTTGCAGCAACTGAAAAGATGCATCTGCCTTCCCTTCCCTCTCCTCCCCGTCCTCAAGCAAGGAGCCTCAACTGGAGCAGTCAGAAACGTACATGTTTTATTTCATCAAAATGGTACATGCATCTCCTGCCCCCAGCAGTCTAAAAAATTATTTTAAAACAGTGTAAAAAGGAAACCTGCCCCACATCTGTAATACAGAAAGGTAAACGGCTTTGTCTTGACAAAGCTGAAAAAAATGCAGTACAAGATCCTAATTTTATAAATATAATCCAGTCTCATCTATAATGTACAGAGTTGCAAAAAATTCTTTGTCATTTATGTAAGAAATGTATCTTCTAATCCCTGAATAACAGCCTACGCCCCACCACTCAGCCATACCTTAAAAACCTCATAGATAGCAAATATTTACAAGACTCAAAACAGTTTGCACATTGGTGACATATTACAAATATTACACAGTTTAATCCAAAAAAGGTTTCTATAACAATATTACCATGTACAAAATATTGCAAAACCAAAGTGCCTATGTCGATCACGTTATAAAAAAATAATAATAATGGTGCTGTTAAATAGAGAAAGCATCTGATTCTGATCTCTTTTGTGCTGATGTAAACCAGGAGTAACTCCACTGAAGTCAAGAGGATCACACAGCTGTAAAGATGATGTGTGTGGTTCATTTCATAAAAATCCAGACCTGAATTTTTGGCCGTTTCCCTTATTAGAAGGATCCAAGCTAACTAGATATTCAAACAATAATGAGCAACTCAAGAGCTACTGGTAATGAGGATAAAGTACAGAATGGCAATGCAGTTACCTCCTCCTAGACTATTCACGCATGGACCACTCTGTTCAAGATGCCCACCCTCAGCACCCCTGAACTCTAGTGTATGGGGAGAAGTCTCTCCGAGTAGTAAAATACATTTGAGTAGCTCACAGAATCAGCCTACCCCAAAGGTCTGCTAAAGCTCATCCCCTATCTGGATTTGTTTTTAAATCTATGGTTGCTGCAAACAGTAGGGGAGTTCACTAACCAGAGTTACCAAAAATCTTCTCAGCTTTTTTGGATGTTATTTTACTGTACTTTGAGTCTTGTCAACTTGTTTGCCCTGTCTAGTCAAGGTGTATAGTCAAACTGAGCTACACACACGTTTGTCTGCAAGACTCACGTGAGCAGCCCCATGAACTTCAATGGGAACACATTTGCTTCAATATTTGCACGGTGGAAAATTATACCAGTTTCTTCTCTTGTTTGTATAGGTCTTTACATAGCAAGGAGGATGGGGAAAAGCATTAGAAGAAAACCACATGAAAAATGTGATTGAAAAACCCCATAAGATAATTAGCAGGAAAATAGAGAAGCAGGGGTAATTGTGCATTACATTTTTCACTCTTGTTTTAAAACAAGGACTTAAGATTTCAAATATGACAGTCCCCCTTTAAAACTCATGTTACTTAAGAGGTAGTCTATCCAGGGTTTGGTGGCCAGTAGAACTATACCAATTTAACTCAATGAACAAGACTATATGTTCACAGAGGAAACACGCTGGTACAATTCCCCTATATAGACAAGCCCCTAATCATTGTAGCATCCCATATAGGCTCAAATTTTTATCAGTACAGGGTGAGAGAGGGTTCTGCTCATTTGTGTCTTGGTCTCTAGAAGTTGTGATCAAAGGATATTCTCAGCAGCTTCCAAACCGCAATTGCAGGAGATCCTGGGCTATGCTAATTTTTGTGGGGTTTTTGCTTTTAAAAGCAATGTATCCCCAACTCCCCTCTCTGCCTAAGTCCAATGGCAATTCAGGGGGCACCCTGTACTCTCTGCTATTTTTAATTTTTCTTCAACCAAGTGCACTTTATCTGCAGTAGGCCATAGGGTGAAGAAGGAAGATGACAGCACAATTAAAAATGCAACGCTGTAACTATGGTAAAGGTTGGCAAGTTAAAACACATCTATGCCTGCCCAAAGTATAGCTGGCAATGGACCTCAGTCTAAGGGCAACTGGAAAATGGAGTGGCAGTGTTACATAGCTTTAAAGAAATATTGAGAAGACCATCTGGTCTTCTTCCCATTCATGAAATTGGCTGGAGTGGTGATGCCTTTTTGAGAAAGGGTATAGAGGAAAGCAATAAGAACAACTGATGGCTCTCAAAAGCATGCGTTTCTTGGGCAGGAATTCTTGTCTAGACTTATCTAATGTGTTGTAATGTATAGACCAGAGAAAGAGACCCTTTTCAGATTGTATGCGTTAGTCATGCACATTTTGACTTTGCCTCTGATCTCACTCGCACGCAAGGAAGAATCAGGGAGCAACTTCGTGATAGTCGAGTTACAATGCGATGAAACGAAAGAGCAATGAGGACCTCTGTTTGCTCTCCTCTTCAGTTGCTTCAGGCTGTGACTATTCTGATTCAAAATGCAAATTCACACTGTTGCTTGGGAAGGTTAAAATAAACTAACACAAACTCACGAAGGAAGTATCAACCCGAACAATAAATGCATGTAGTCAATACATGTTTGTGGAATCCAAGGACACTTGACTGGGCTACCCATGGGCCACACAACTGAGCGTCTCTGATCAAAACCCACAGCCTCTTGCCTACGTGCAGTGTTATAACAATGGGTAGGCAAACAGGGCCCTAGACTTGAGTGCTGTCTGGTGGGGGGGGTGCCAAAATGAAGCTATGGGAGTACCTCACCATCCCTGCTGGAGCTCTACATGCATCATGAGCTCACCAGCTGGTCAACAGGGGATCAGCACTCACAGCACATGTGGCCCTCAGGCAGGAGCTGAGCTGACATGCTAGTGAGCTCCAATAGCTCTCTCCATATGCAGCACACAGCCATGGTTGGGTACAACCATGCCATTGCACTACCTTGGATCCATCTCTGGGTGGAGGCTGCAATTAGAGTCCATTTCAGCAACAGCAATATAGAGAATCAAGAATGATAAACACTGTTAAAAAGTGAAATCACCTTCCAGATGCAGGTTTAACCCCGTACTGCCCCACAGAGGCACTGATTGACTATATTAATCCAGGAAAATTAGAAGGATATTTAAGATATTCCCCCCCACACACACACATGCACACACTGCAATAAAGGGAGAAGAGAATGGGTTCTTTGCACTGCCTTTATTTCTCAAATGGTACAGAATCCCTTTCACCTACATGAATAGGGCAGCAAATTAGGGCATTCTGGCCATTGGAAAAAAGAGGAGGGGATGAGGGTGTGATTAAAAATAAAACTGGTGTGTTACTGTGGGAGAGACTGCAAGGTACTTTAGGACCCAGGAAATATTGTTCAGG